CAGCATAAAAGCATAAATAAACCAGCTAATAAACAACAGAACAAAGAACATGGTATCTGGAAATGTTCCAGCGACAGACACCCCATGACGCGACAGATTAAGAGCTCCCTGTCCAGCAGAAGGATGGCAGATCGACACTCGTGGCATGGGCATGACCTCAGGACACCTCCCCTTTCCCCCGTGGATTCCAAAAAAGGGACGCATCCTTTTACTACTTTCAGAAAAGCGCGCGTTTCTCCTGTCACAGACAAAGGGACATGAAATTTACAACAGACAATTTCAACAGATAATCATTTACGTGCATAACAGGACAACCAGATTCACAAATAATATGTTGTATGTCTTATATATGCTAGACGTGTTTCATGTAATCGGTGCAACTTTAATTAGTGTTTTATTACCCTTTTTTAGGAAATAAGGTTATTAAAATGTGTGTAATATGTGAAGTTTAATCTTGAACGAATGGGCACGACAAATGCAGAATTCTGAAATGAAGTAAACGTTAATAGTATGTACAATACTTGCATTTAAGAAACTTTATAGAAGGATTAACAAAACTTTTATAGATGGTGTCCTCAATATGATGAATTAAAGCCTCATGTTAATGTATGCACGCTCCGCCTTGCAAGAAGTCGACTGGAAGATCGCGTCATGGGACGGACTTATGCCGCGGATCAAAAACCCAATGCAAGACAGACTCGAGTGTGCTTGCTTGCTTCTTCGCCTTTCGCAGTGTTAAGAGCACTCCAACTTGTGCTCACATGCTTACCATCATAGCGATCGGTCATCTAAAACTCAAACACTTCAGTTGAAACTTCATGATCGTCAGAGATCTTCAAAGAACTTAAAGTCTTGCAAACTTAGACTGTCTCAGAAAAACCGCCCGAGGCTCCTCCGTAGCCCGGCAACCAACCAATCCAATGAGGGCTCTCCCAAAAAGATGTCATCCAAACGTCATTCAGGCACCAGATCAACAGCCAATCAGCAACGGAATTCCCTCCAGCAGCCACGAGCAACCATTCAGCTTTCAGCTGTCACCCAAAAACGCAAGTACAAACAAGGTCTTCCATCTGCTGAAATAGGTGCTGAACTGGTGAATTGAGTTAAGCAGTAAAGATAAGAAAATCTCTGCTTTGTGATTTTCTCAGGTTGCAAGTAAAAGAACTGTAGCAAATATCTTGCTAAAACTTTGGGCTTTCCTCAGAACTCCGTTAACATCATTCTTCAGAACTGTATGTGTGTGTTTTAGCTTAGTTTAATGTAATCTAGCATAGCCAATAAATTCGTGTTTCATTTATAAAGAATCATTGTCTGGTGTCGTATAATTTTAAAGTCAAACCTTGCCAAGATCACGTTACCTCGCTAGGAGCTTACAAATGATCATAAATGTATTGACCTGTGGCCAAGGAAAATACACATAGATTGTTAAGATACACGGACATTAACGTCTCGCTGGACGACCGTTGATAAGGTGTAAACTATTAAAATTTGAAATCAGTTCTAATCAGGTTGACATCGAATTTTGAGATTCGAGTCCTCTCAAAACCTGAATGAATTAATAATAATTAATTCCCTAAGAAAAGTAATCAGACATTACAAACCACTGAAGAACTTTTTTTTTAGAGTGTAGGGTTATAATTTTTCAGTATTACATGGCATCATGGGTGTATATTAGCACAGTTTGTTGTTTTGTGTTGCAGAGCGTTAGGACCCAGAAGCAGTGAAGCGTGATGTCAGACGTAACAAGCAGATATTCTTAACCACTATCCAACCATGAATCTGCTGTGAGCAAGAGGTGGAGAGGAGGAGCACCACAATAAAACCTCGCCCTTTATTCAATATTCCGTTTCACTTGGGTTAAGGCTAGAAGAGATACATATAGCACTACTGGGCATGCGCACAAAAATACAGTGCAATTTTTGTCACACTGTACAACAATTAATATTTTTTTGCATTATTGTAAGGGCTAGGTTTAGGGTTGGGGTAGGTATAGACGTTAATAAAAAAAACAATCTAATAGGTAGAAAATTAAATTTCATTGTTAGTTTAGTCTTGTCGGAGCTGTATCCCTTCTAGCCACAACCTTTCATGTTCTTTGATGTGAATGAATATTTTTTGGGAATTCATTAAATATAGCTGGCTAACTAGTAACTAGTACTCTGAGTAGTTTTTGAGAAGAGTACTTTGTACTTTTACTTAAGTACTGTTTTGGCACCAGTACATTTACTTGTAATTGAGTATTATTTCAGCAATGTAACAGTACTTGTACTTAAGTACAAATTTTCAGTACTCTTTCCACCACTGGTTGTTATTGTTGTCATATTGTGTGTGATTTTAATTTTAAAACCCATTTTGGGTTAATTTAACCCAGCAGTAGGCCTATAGTGAATTGCAAACAATATTTGAATTAAATAAAACAGTCCACCATGTTTATTGATACATTACCTGATATATAATGTATGTATGTATGACCTACTGTATAAACAATAGTTTCAGAGCAATTTGTTGTAGCCACTTACCCTGTAACTATATGGAACAAGGGGGGAACAAAGCACCACTTTAATTTACAGTCAGCAAATATTGTATTTACCCTGTAACTACATGTGTCACGAATCCGGTCCATGAACTTCCGTCTGCTTGCCACCAGAGGTCACCTTTCCACTACTATGGACTCTTGCACCACACCACTGTTGCACTTCACCCGGACTACAGTTCCTATCATCCATTGCACTGATTATACACACACAGTTGATTGCTGTAGGATTCCGGCCTTCAAGATATTGAAACCCTTGAATCTATAAACGAACACAAACGAACATTGAATCTATACATTCCACCGGGAAAACTAAAGGTTCTTCTCTCCAGCCCTCTGCAGTCATAAAACTACGTACAGGGTCAGCTCAGGGTCTCAGCAGTTCCTGTCTCTCTCTGCTTATCTTTACAAGAAACAACAAGAACTGACCCTACCCCATCTGGATTCATTTAAGCAACAGAACGTCAGTAGGTTTCGTGACTGGCTTCAGCATAAATAAACCATCTAATGGACCACGGAACAAAGAGCCTGGCATCTAGACAGAATTCCAGTGACAGACACTCCTGGACCTCAGGACCGTTAACACATAAATTGCTAAATCTGATAAACAGAAAGTGGCCAATTAAGAACTCTCTCTGTCCAGGAGAAGCTTGGCAGACTCTCATGCTCTGACACGAGAATGACCTCCTTTGCATTCCAAAAAAGGACGCACCCTTTTCTCTCTCTTCGGTCAGACAAAGGGACACGAAAAACTTACAACAGACTATTTCAACAGATAATAATTTATGCGCATAACAGGGCAACCAGATTCACAAATAATATGTTGTATGTCTTATATATATGCTTGACGTGTTTCATGTAATCGGTGCAAATTTAATCAGTGTTTTATTACCCTTTTTAGGAAATAAGGATATTAAAATGTGTGGAACGGAAACTTGTGATAATTGCAGAATATTGAAATAAGTGAAAAGCTGTTATTTCAAACAATATGAGTTGAACGACACTATATAGGAGTATTAACAAAACCTGCAAATCTTAATGTCGCCACATAATAAATGGGGGCTCTTGTTAATATATGCACGCTCCGTCTGCGCAAGAAGGCGATTGGAAGGTTGCGTCGTGGGACGGACTTATGCAGCGGAACAAAAACCCAATGCAGACAGATTTGCTTGCTTGCTGTTTCTTCGGCTTCTCGCCGGTCGCCTGTAACGAGCACTCCAAGTGTGCTCACGCGCTTACCATCAAAAGCGACCACATCTCACCTAACACAAAAACACTTCAGTGAAACTTCGCAATCTTCAAAGAACTCTGAGTCTTGCAAACTAAGACTTTTAGCAAAACTGCTGCAGCCTCCGCGTCATAAAGAAACCAACCAATCTCCGGAGGGCTTTTCCAAAAGAACGTCATTTAAACGTCATTCCGACGTCACCTCAGCGACCAACCAGTAACGGGGTTCCCTCAAAGACATCCAGGAAGTCAGCCACGGAATCACCTCAGCTGTCAACCAGCAGAACGCAAGTAAACGAACAACTCTCTAATCTGCTGAATTGGTGTTGAGCTCACTTAAGCAGTAAAATTAAGAAAAATTCTCTGCTCTGTAAATTCTTAAGGTGAATTTACATCACTCGTGAAAACGAGGTAGAACTATGAAACTCAGTCTACTCGCAGTCTAAGAAACTGTACATGTGTGTGTGTATTTTTGTGTGTTTTAGTTAGTTTTATGTAATCTAGGATAGCCAATAAAATTCTCGTTTCATTTATAAATAATCAATTGTCTGGTGTCATATAATTTCAAGGTTAAAACTGTTGCCAAAAGATCCCTTGCTTGCTGCCTAGCTCGTAACTTACTCATAATAATCTCTTAAAGAGCTAACAAATTATCATAAGTGTGTTGACCGTGGCCAGGAAAACACATATTTAATTTGTTAAACTATACTGAGAATCACCGGCTCGCTGGACGACCCTTGATTTAAAGTGTAAACTATCAAATTTAGAATCAGTTCGAATCAGGTTGAATTAGGCTCTTCAGATCCTAGTCCTCTAAAACTTAAATTTGAAAACGAGGTAGAACTATGAAACTCAGTCTACTCGCAGTCTAAGAAACTGTACATGTGTGTGTGTATTTTTGTGTGTTTTAGTTAGTTTTATGTAATCTAGGATAGCCAATAAAATTCTCGTTTCATTTATAAATAATCAATTGTCTGGTGTCATATAATTTCAAGGTTAAAACTGTTGCCAAAAGATCCCTTGCTTGCTGCCTAGCTCGTAACTTACTCATAATAATCTCTTAAAGAGCTAACAAATTATCATAAGTGTGTTGACCGTGGCCAGGAAAACACATATTTAATTTGTTAAACTATACTGAGAATCACCGGCTCGCTGGACGACCCTTGATTTAAAGTGTAAACTATCAAATTTAGAATCAGTTCGAATCAGGTTGAATTAGGCTCTTCAGATCCTAGTCCTCTAAAACTTAAATTAATAATAATTAATTCCCTTACAACTGAGTTAAAATTCCTTACATTACACACAGCACTGATTGCACACAGCTGTCATCAATCACACCTTCCCTATATAACGCTCACTCTGATCCCCGTCAAGCTGCTGAGTATTCTATAGCATTTATCACTCTCTTAGCGATAGCTACTCTACGGAGCCCGTTAGTTTTCATAGCCTTAGCTTAGTCCTGCCTTGTCTGTTTCCTCGTGTCCTTATCTTCGCCTGTGTATCTCGGATTCCCCCTCTCGTCTTGCCCTATTCTGATACTGTTTGCCCTTGCCTGGACCTTGCCTTGTACCTGAACTTATCCCTCTAGTCTCGCCCTCTTGATCCTGTTTGCCGATCGTAGACCCACGCTAGCCCTAGGATATATTCTTGTGTCTTGCCTTCTACATAACTGTTGCTATTGTCTGACCCTTGCCTGTCTCTACCATGTCTATTAATAAAGCTTTGCACTTGGATTCGCACGTCTCACGTCTCGTCAGCGCCGGAACAAGGGGGGAACAAAGCACCACTTTAATTTACAGCCCGCAAATGTTTTATTTACCCTGTAACTACATGGAACAAGGGGGGAACAAAGCACCACTTTAATTTACAGCCCGCAGATGTTGTATTTACCCTGTAACTACATGTAACAATGGGGGAACAAAGCACCACTTTAATTTACAGCCCGCAAATGTTGTATTTACCCTGTAACTACATGGTATAAGGTAGGAACAAGTTGAACTTAAACACAGAACAAGTGTACATTTGCACAGTAATTATAGAGAAAAATATTGCACTAGTTTTAATTTAATTGTTCGATGGCCAAATTAAACCCTCTAAAAAAAATGTTCGCTATAAAAACACCACAGTATACATCCACTGAAATACAAATGTTGTATCATGTATTTTTTCTGCGAACAGCTGGAAAGAGGTAAGCTTGTTTTAAGCTGCATTGAACCTTGATGGTGTATCATGCAAAGTTATTTGGTGATAGTGGCGTTGAGAAGTTGCTGGTGTGAAGTTGCTGAAATCGACGAATAGGCTTTCATAAGGTAAGTAGACTCGTGAATTATAAATCATAGCAGAAACTCATTAACTCATTTCACTAGATGTCCAGTTTTGTTGTTCAGTAATCTCCATCATGTCCATCCTTTAATAATAGAATGTGTACCCCATGGTTAAAAAATACATATACGCCTATAATAAAATACCAATATAAAATTATAAAAAGTATATATCGTCTTTCTAAATCATTCCCAAACATAAGATTGTTGTTTAGGCCATACATACCACGTAATATTAGAATAAGCACCTCTTAGTTTCAAAATACTTTACAATGATTTGTAATTTTACCAAACTTCGCATATTATTCCCTTATACCTACACGGAGGTACTAAATAGGTACACTATAATTACAAAAAAAGTTACACTGTAACTTCAGTTTACTTACGCAGTTCTTTGCAGGTTGCATATCTGGTTGTTACCCCTTTATTACCCAAACGTAACACATTGTTCCCTTATACCGACACGTATGTTCTTTATAGGTACACTATAATTACACAAACGTACACCGTAAATTCAGTATACTTACATAGTTCTTTGCGGGTTGTAATCTAAAGCGTTACCATTGGTTGTTGTCTTATTTTTGTCTTATAGACCATTTATACTTGTTTCTGTCCTAACACTGTACTAATTAGCTAAAAATAAAACAAACGAATAGCTTGTATTGTGCGAATTACACACTTTATAAGTTCTCAGTACAGTGTGAATTTGTAGCTTATAAGTATGAAATAAATATAGAATAGGCATTTCATCACAGACATTTAAATTCGCTGAAAAACACTGTGATGTTACTGTCACAGTGTTTGTTGTGGTGACCTGGACTGGTCACTTGAGGGCGCTCTTTTGTTTTCGTTGTTTGTGTTAAACTCCATTTCCCATAGTCCCCTGCTCACTAATCCTGGTTTTATCGGTAACACCTGTTCATCATTAACCCAGCTATATATATCATGCCTTCTCTGTCTGTCATTTGCGTCTGGATTGTATTGTCTTCTTAGTTGGTGTTGTCGGTGTCAGGTTTTGGATTACCTTTTGCAACGTTTTGTTCTGTTTTGTTCTGTTATTATTTTCAATAAACTGCACATGGAATTTACCCTGTTTCCTCCTGGCATTCCGTGACAGTTACACAAAAGCACAGTCTTTCTAGCAGTTGTTCTATACTAACAAATTATTTAAAAACGAAATATTCCCCATTCCCTGAATTTATTAATACCTAACAAGCACATTTCTCACTAATAAATACAGTATTACTTCAGATTAGGGATGTAACGATTACCGGTTTGACGATTAAAAAATCTGTCGGTGCGACTAAATTTTGTGTGCGGTCGCACTGGCGCGACCACCGCATTGTTTAACTCATAAGCGCTGCATTTCTGTTGCATGTGAGAAACATCAAACGGCAAACGAAACTGAAAGCATAACGAAACCGTGCGACTCGTTTGAGCTGCGCAGCTCTTCGAGTGTAGAGCCTGGTTTATACTCGCCGCGTCAGGAGCGTGAAGCTGCGTGCAGCAAAAATGACGTGAATATTGAGGTAACGATGGATGGGTTTCATGCTAAAGTAAAGTAAAAGACCGCTTCTTAAACCAAAGGTGAACATGTTGGTATTCTTGTGGGACAAAAACATGCAAGCACTGTCACCGACAGCAAGTTTAGTTTTACTTTTCTTTTTGTTTTCATTTTGAAAAGCTTGTTATCTTTGCTGTTTACCTCACGTTATGCTATGGAGGCTCTCTTTTTTATTTATTTGATTCCTCAGTGTTTGCTAAACGTTCTGTAATTTATTAGTCGGTATATAATACAGCATGTGGTGTATGAATCCGTGTATCATTCGATCATTCGTTTTTTAATTTAATATTGAAAGTAGAAAAATTAGAAAACGGCTCCTTTTTCGTTTTTTCATTTTTTTTCAAAAATTTAAAAAAGAGAATTCAGCTTAAATTTTATTTTTTCGCTCAGGGGTAGAAAAATGAATAAACAGCTTGAATAATTGATTTCTGCACATGGGTGGGAATTAAACGCCCCTTTCTGCTGATTGGTCAGCCAAAGATCAAACCATGCCGTCATCAGTTCTTCCGCAGTATCACGCAGCAGAATAATAGTCCTCCACTGCTGCAGTTGTATGGATTAATTACTCATTTTATTGCAACTACATTTCATATTTTTTCTCATCAAACAGACTAAGGAATAACTCGACACCGGGGCAGAGGGCTTTCTTCTGTGTAGACCAGCGGTTCTTAAGTCGCTTTTTTTATCATGATCCATAAGCCTACTGTCACGAATCCGGTCCATGAGCTTCCTTCTGTTAGCCATCATAGGTCACCCTTTCCAATTTCATTGACTCTCGCACTACACATTGTTGCACATCACCCCGGACTACATATCCCATCATTCACTGCACTGATTGCACTCAGCACGGATTGCACACAGCTGTTAACACTGATTGCACCCAGCTGTTTCATATCACTCCCTCACTATTTAACACTCACTCTGATCCCTTCCCTCTGCCGAGTATTGTTCAGCGCATATCTTATCCTTAGATAGCTACTTTACAGAGCCCTCATTAGTTTCCCTGCCTTAGCCTTAGCCTTAGCCTAGTTTTGCCTCGCCTTGTCTGTTTTCTCCGGTTCTGATCTTCACCTGGTTTCCTGGATTTCTCCCTTAGTCTTGCCCCTTTTTTGATTCCGTCTGCCGATCGTCGACCTGCGCTAGCCCTAGGACTATTCTTGTGTTTTGCCCGCCATATACCTGTTTGTCTTTGTTTGACCCTGCCTGTTATGACCACGTCTCTGTCTTCTCCAATAAAAAGCTTGCACATGGATCCGCAAGTCTCACGTCTCGTCAGCCCCGTAACACCTACTGTGATTTATTCCAAAGTGACTTATATGATGCATTTAACGTCAAATAATCTAAATGAAGCCTTTTAAAAGACAAGTATTCACTGTGGTTCATGTTTGTGGCATGCGCCAGAAAGATGCTCAAGGAGACCGAGACCTGTGTGATACTGCGGATGAACTGATGACGACACGGTTTGATCTTCGGCTGACCAATCAGCAGAAAGGGGCGTTTAATTCCCGCCCACGTGTAGAAATCGAATATTCAAGCAGTTCATTTTTCTTCCCCTAAACGAAAAAACAAAAAAGGAGCCGTTTTCTAATTTTTCTACTGTCAATAGTAAATCAAAAAACGAATGATCGAATAATACACGGATTTGTATGCCATGCCTCGTCTTATTCGTTTTTGTTAATAAACGTTTTATAAGCTAGTTTGTCATTGTATCTTACTGTTTTATTGTTGTTATGCTTTTTAATTAAGAATAACAATGAAGCCATCTTTTGTTTTAGTCTTAAAAAGTGAAAGGTGTGTAGATCAAAAAACGGACCGAATTAGCATGCCCTGCTGTCAATTTTGGATAAATTTGGTTGATGAAAAACAAGCTTATGTGGATACTACACATTTAAACAATAAGATATCTAGTATTATTTATGGAGCAGATAAATACATATAATCATTTATTAATCAATTATCCTTTTGACTTGACCCTTTTCTTTATTTAAAAGCTGAAATGTGAGGTTTACCATTTATGAAACTTTTTCAAAGCATTATTTAAACATTTACATTAGATATTTGAACATGCTATTAGATAAACTGTTGTCAGTCATGTTCTCATTTAAAATCCGGACATCATTGGCAATGTTACTGTTTTAGTTATGCAAACAAAAACTCATTTTATTTGTTGTTTGTTGATTTTAAATGTAAAACTTAGTGAAATGATTTGTGTGTCAGTACTTTTTGAACATTTCCAGCACATTTTAACAATACCGTGATAATACTGATAACAGTGAGCATTTTGTTCACTATAATCGTGATAAGAAATTTTCATACTGTTACATCCCTAATTCAGATTATGTTCCCTATTCTAAAGTAAGCATTTGCTGTTTTCCAATAAGAAAAGAGATATTAAATATTGCAGTGAAGAATTCTGTTTATTGTTTTATGGTTCAACAAGAGAACAAACTACAGATGAGACACATCTTCAATAATCACAGTCAAACAGTTCATTGACAAATTTGCTTTTAACACAATGATGATGGTCAAAGAATAAACCAAGCATCTGCATTTTTTCACACAGGATATTTCCTTCTAATGTCATGCAAAATCATACCCAGGGGGCATTTTTATGTTTGTCACCACGCCAGTAGGTCCACTTGATTACTTTTAAGTGGTCTTTGAGCCTGCTTTCTGTGCCATTCCCCCTAAATCTCCACACTGTTGCCTTGCAGACTCCCCAGAACCTCGCAGTGTTTTGTGTGTGAGCACTTGTCTGAGGATCAACAAATACTTCTTTATGGTTCACAGTTATATGGTTATATCCAGCATCTCTGAGACAGTTATAGGCTCTCCACCCATCTGACGACAGTGCTTCCTTGTCTAACATGCTTCTGGAGAATTGGCATGAGGTGTTGAGCTGAACGCTGATTGACAACTTCTCAGAATGGGTCTTCTGCACTCCTCTTTGACCCCAAGCATTCCAAACACCCATGATGCCCTGTTGCTCCGTCTTCCTCGGTTGTACTAAAAATGACAGAATTTAAGAATTTATTTTATCATTCATCTTTATTATAAAGTATGACCAGTTGTAATTGAAAATATATTATCTTTATTTTGTGGCCAAACTTGCTCTCATCAATGAAAACTATTTCGTGCCTTTTTCCAATTTTCAGGTCACCTCTTCTCTTCATTCTTTTAATTGCAGATTTGCAGACTCCACGCAGACAATAAGCAAGTTTAGTCAGTGTGGAAGAGCTTCCAGTGATGCCTTCCTGTAACAGGTCCACTTGCCTCAACCTGAGTCCTTGTGAAAATCTACAGTTTAAAAGCAAAGGATATGATACACAGAAAAATGCATCAGGATCATAACACATATCTTAACACTCAGGTCACTATCGATGTTATGTTATTAACATTGCTAACAAGTATAAGTTCTGATGTTATCTGCTTGAATAATATGCCACAAAATAGTTTCCTTTCAACAAAAATACAATAATTTCTTACCTAATAACAAATAGTTATTGTCGGTGGGGGGAGTGAATAACGTACTCGGTTACTGACGTAACCTTGGTTCCCTGAGATACGGGAACGAGTACTGCGTCTGCCTTAAGACACTATGGGAAAAAGTATTTTTTATCCTGAACTGAAGCCTTTTTCAATCACGCAGTGAAACTGCACGGCCGTTGGTTCGTGCAGTATATAAAAAACGAACCAATGGCTCCGCAGCAGAGCTGCACGAGTCTATGGCGACAAAGCCGGCCAGAGCCCGCCAGAATGGGCAGTGCCATCTGGCTATATAAGCGGGTGTTTGCCACAGGATTCTCAGGTTACTTAGACTGAAGCGATGACTGAGTCGTGCGGCTACATAGCATGGCTAGCAATGCAGTACTCGTTCTCGTATCTCAGGGAACTGAGGTTACGTTAGTAACCGAGTACGTTCCCTGTCGATATTACACTCGTACTGCGTCTGCTTAAAATGCTATGGGAACACAGTACAATCACACTGTGTTAAGGTAGAGGAAGCACAGTCTGTTGTGATGCTCCAACTCTATCCTCCAACTGGGTTAACCTGTTGATCTTATCCTCTTGGCTGCTCCCCAGTTTCTTTACTAGGGCTGTGAGCTCAGTCAGATCCAAGTTCTGTCTGTTCACTTTCTCTGTTCTTGAGTTTTCTCCACTCTGGTTACCACTGGCAGTCGTAAACTGAGCCTGGGCATATGTCTTTTTAGCCTTCAGCTGTGTCTGAAACTTCATTGTCTCCCGAGCAAGGTTACAGAGTTACACTTGAAGTTCACGGAAACTTAGAAGCCTAGGCGTCATTGGCGCTAGCCTGTGATAAACCTCCTCATCACTCAATCCTCTCATGAACTGATGAGCCAGTTTGCTATCTCGGTCTGGAAAAGGTTGGCCTTCATACTGTGCCTCTTCCACTGAACGTAAAGTGGCCTCCAGAGCGATGGCGTATGAACATGCTGATTCGCAAAATCTGCTAATGGGTCCAGAGATGTCTGCATATCACTATACTCAGCTCGCAATTATTCAAAAGCTCTGCCCGTAGTCTGCTCACTAGGCGGGAGATTCAGAACCTGCCTCCTGGCTTCACCACTCAAATGTCTCACTACTGTAGAAAAACCCAGATTTCCAGGCATCCCTCCAGCATCAAGGAGATAACGCATTTCCTGTATCCAGTCTTCAATAAGTATCCTGCAATCAGGACCACAGCTGAATACTTGCACATTTCGTACTTGGTGTGTCTGTGTAAAACTGGGTTGTGGCATGTTCATTGCAGAGGCATGGTTGTTTGTGTCTTGCTGATCAGCCACACACGGATGTATAATCTGAGGTTGTTGCATGGGGATTGGTTGTTGTGCATGCATGTGTGAACCAGGATACGCTGGCACTGTCATAGGAGCATAAATAGGAGCTCAGGAGGTTGACACTGTTTGAATGTAAGGTGCGCTGTCGATCAATGGAAGTTTGTTGCACTTGCACGGGGTCTGTTTTGTTAGAAAAACTGGTTCCAGACAAGACAGGAGGTTCTGGGGGCAGAAATGAGTTAGGAGGTGTTGAGTACATGGCATTCGGTACACCATAGCAGGAGGATGGAAGGGCCTGATCTGTCATTGCAGTTGCAACAGGAAAATGCAGGCCATGTGGAGATGAGTACATATTTTATCTTAAAATCAATTTTATACACCATAATTTTCGTTTCTATAACGTGTGAATATATCCCCTATCGTATTCTACAACAAAAACAATCAGAGCGCCTTGTTATCACTAGTTCTATTTTGATTTCCTGAATCCGCTATTAGCATATAGCCCGTTAGCATCGCCAGCGGGGTTGCAGCTAATCTTGCTTGCATTGCTAATACTCTATTCACACATTTTGAGTGCAGGTGAGGAACAGCTGCACACCAAATGCAGCTCGAGTTGGAGGCCATGGAGAAGCAGATCGCGACCTGGTGGAGAGGCAGACCCAGCTGAGAGAGTGGAGAGCCGCGCTGGAAACATCCCGGGCTGACGCTCACAAGTCCTGGGTAAGTATACAGCACGCTGCTAACTCTCCCACCACCTCTATTCCATGTGTTTCTTTGCACAGACCCAGTGCATCCAGGACGCGATCTTCCCAGATGTCCTTCACCCCGGCGCTGGGACACCACGGACCCTGGGTGCACCCTCAACAAAAGACGCGAGCCAGGCCCCGGGCGACGAACTCTCCCCCTCCGCCGCCTCCGGTCTTCGAGATCTCCACCCGGAACCGCTTTGCTCCCCTCCGCGAGACGAAACACGATGCTGTGATCATCGGAGACTCCATCATCCGGCACGCCCGTGCTACGTTAGCTGAAGGTAAATTGCACACTCACTGTTTCCCTGGTGCTCGTGTTCTCTATGTTTCTGCGCAGATACCCGTGATCCTGAAGGGCGACGAGAGCACCGGAGTGGTCGTGCTTAACGCGAGGGTTAACGACATTAAGCTGCGGCAGATGGAGACACTGAAGAGGGACTTCAGGAGCCTGATCGAGACGGTGCGCCGCACATCGCCCGCGACGACGATCATCGTGTCAGGACCGCTTCCCACGTATCGACGAGGACACGAAAGGTTCAGTAGAGTTCAGTAGTTATTGTCATGGTATAAAGAACAGAAACTGCTCTTTGTCAATAATTGGAATCTTTTCTGGGAGCGTCCTAGGCTTTTTCGCGCTGATGGCCTGCACCCCAGCAGAGTCGGAGCGGAACTCCTGTCGGACGTCTCCAGGACGCTACGCACCATATGACTAGTAAGTGAAATCTCAAATAACTGCCCTGATGACTTTTGTTCTACCCGCTTAAATGATAGAAGTACTTGCACTGTACAATCTATAAAGACTGTGTCTGTTCCCCGAATTGTGAGGTCAAAATATAAATTTAGTGCAGGATCTAGAAAAAATCTGATCGTGATTAAACCAGCATGAGCCCCATCAGACTGGTCGTGGCGGCGGTGTTGCAACAATATATAGTGATATTCTCAATGTTACTCAGAAGACAGGATACCGGTTTAACTCATTCGAAATACTTATGCTTAATGTTACACTGTCACAAATGCAAAAGAAATGTATCGTATCTCTTGCTCTGGCTACTGTGTATAGACCACCAGGGCCATATACAGATTTCCTAAAAGAATTTGCAGATTTCCTCTCAGACCTATTGGTAACTGTTGATAAAGCGCTAATTGTCAGAGATTTTAACATTCACATTGATAATACAAATGATGCATTAGGACTTGCGTTTACTGACCTAATAAACTCTTTTGGACTCGTCATTTTACTCATCGTTTTAATCATACACTAGATTTAATTATATCGCATGGAATTGATCTTACTGATATAGATATCGTATCTCAAAGTGATGATGTTACTGACCATTTCCTTGTATCGTGCATGCCACATATTACTGATATTAACTATATGGCTCCGCGTTATCTACCGGGCAGAACTATTGTTCCAGCCACCAAAGACAGATTCACAAATAACCTGCCTGATTTATCTCAACTGCTCTGTGTACCCATAAATACACATGAACTAGACAAAATTACTAGCAACATGGGCACTATCTTCTCTAATACTTTAGAAGCTGTTTCCCTTGTCTTGAGCGCAAATGGAGAAAAACTAACTTGGAAGTTTTTAGAATTGCATGGAAAAACAGTATGTCCAGCTATAGAAAGGCTCTAAAAGCTGCCAGGGCCGAACATATCCACAAACTTATAGAAAACAACCAAAACAATCCAAGGTTTTTATTTAGCACAGTGGCTAGATTAACAAATAACCAGACGCCACCCGATCTAAATATTCCCGCACAGTTTAATAGTAATGACTTTATGAATTTCTTCACTGATAAAATAGATAACATCAGAAATACAATAACAAATGTAGATTCTACAGCATATAATACTTCAGGTTCATTCATCGCACCAAAAGATAAACTGCAGTGCTTTACAGCTAAAGGACAGGAAGAGCTAAATAAACTTATCACTGCATCTAAACCAACAACATGCCTGTTAGATCCTGTACCCACTAAATTACTGAAAGAGTTGTTACTTTACTGCAGTTATATCTGATCAAATGCACATTATTATTCTTTAGTTTGGGTTAACATCCCGACATCCCGTGGTAACTAGGATTTACACATGCTTCAGTCTGGATCCAGAACAGCTGAGAAGAGATGATGCCAACCCCTCAGAGGACTTCAGATGATGCTAAACCTGAAACAACATACAGAACTACCACATTTTGCTATAAGTTTGATTGCATCATATAATAATTGCTGCTAATAGTGTTCATCGTCTGTTTGATTACGTCTTTAGTTGATTTTTCCATGCTTTTCTGCCATATGTACATTAACTGACAGTCACCACTGATAAGCTACCACTAAATATTGTAGAAACTTAATTTGCTGTAAAGTTGCTTTGCAACGATTTGTATCATGAAAAGCGCTATACAAATAAACTTGAATTGAATTGAATTGAATATTGGGATAAGTAGGAATGTGGGTTTTAGTTGACAGTCTAAAGGTGGTGGTGGGTGGTGGGTGTGGGCCATCCAAAGAAGGGGGCATCTAAGTTGGCATTCCACTGGCCATGTTTGGTGAAGCGTGCATGGTAGTGACATTGTCATGCGTGTTAGTTTGGGATGAGCCAGTCGGCACATTAGGTGGGTGCGGGCTAATTAGACATGTGCAAGGGGGTTGGAAGTCCACCGGGGGCATTATCTGGGACTTGCATATGAGCTGAGGGCTGATGTTGCATGGAGGCGCTGGGGCAGGTGCCTGACTTGTGCCAGCTTACTGCAGAGGGAGGTACGTTCTGTGTGTGTGCTGCTAACTGCGTCGACTTTGGCCTGACAGACTGTTGAAGGTTATCATCTGGCTGGGACACAGTCTCAACATTCAAATTGACAGGCATACTTATTTCATACTGTTGGATTTTGTCTTCCTTTACTGGTAACCATGGGGTGGCCTGAAAGGGCTGCCTTTGTTGTACTTGTGGATGGGGAGGTGGTCAATGAGGGGTGGTTTCAGGAATCCCCTGCATTTCTCTTCCACTTCCTTGATAATTCTTGCCTGTGCAACACACAATGTGTATGTAATGTGCAATACACTATGTACAGTATTTGCCAAAGTAATTGTATGAAAAATTTTGAAAAGTGCAAATTAATGCAGAAAGTGTATGTGTTGTATATTTCTTATGTTTCCTCTATTCACACGGCACTCAATCCAGATTAAAGGCAAATAGAAGGGAAAAAAATAAGCTTTTACAGCTTTAAATATACCCAAAATACTAGTTAGATTCACAAAAAAGAATATAGTTTCAAAAAGCACAGCAATTCACATATTTGTTACTCAAATCAATCAATCAATTAACTCTTTCCCCGCCAGCATTTTTGAAAAAAGTTGCCAGCCACTGCCAGCGATTTTGATGATTTTCCTCCAGTATATGATGTATATGATTCCTCCAGTATATGATGATGCCTCCAATATATTTTGCTGTATGAATATTTGAATATGCAATACACCAAAATAAAGATCAGAGCCTCTACTTTTAAACAAAAAAATAATTGGTTTTATTCTAGCTTTCTTTTTTTTTTTATCAACACTTGAATATAGGTAGGTTTCATAAAAATGCATAATTTTGAGCAAAAAGGTGAGAAAATCACATTTTTATCAAAAACTACAACTGGAAAATATTCAGTACGATTATCAAAGCGTAAAGGCAGTGAATCGCTTCCATCAACACCTCCAAAGCTTGCACAGACATATACCACTTCCTGGATCAACATTTTACTTCGTAACATTATGCAGTTTTAATTTTTATGCTGTCAAGTCAAGTCACCTTTATTTATATAGCGCTTTTAACAATACAGATTGTGTCAAAGCAACTGAACAGCATTAATTAGGAAAATAGTGTCAATAATGCAAAGTGACAATAGTAAACACTAATTTTTCAGTTAAAGACAGTTCATCATTGAATTCAGTGATGTCAACATCCAGCTCAGTTTAAATAATATCTTTGCAATTATGTCAACGATATCGCCGGAAATGAAGTGTCCCCAACTAAGCAAGCCAGAGGCGACAGCGGCAAGGAACCAAAACTCCATCGGTGACAGAATGATCAAAAGATAAAAGAAAATAAGGAAGAATTTAAGGAAAGAAGAAAGCAAAGAAAGACATAAGGAAGGAAGAAAAGGATGAATAAGGAAGAAGAGGAAGGAAATAAAGAAGGAAGGAAGGTAATAAGGGGTGAGGGAAGGAAAAAGAGAAGGGATAAAGTAGGAAGAAGATAGCAAAGAAGGGGGAAATAAGGAAGGAAATAATGAATGAAGGAGACAAAAGAGGGAAGGGAAATAAGGAAGAATGAAAGTAAAGAAGAAAGCAAAGAAAGAAATAAAGAAGGAAAGAAGGAAGAAAAGGAGGAAGAAGAGGAAGGAAAAAAAATGTAGGAAGATAGCAAAGAAGGAAGGAAGGTAGGAAGTAAATAATGGCGGGAGGGAAGGAAAATAAAAAAGGGGATAAAGCAGGAAGAAGACAACAAAGAAGGGGAAAATTACCTTCAGCTAACGTAGCATGGACGTGCCGGACGATGGAGTCTCCTATGATCACAGCGTCGCGTTCCGTCTCGCGGAGGGGAGCGAAGCAGTTCTGGGTGGAGATCTCGAAGACCGGAGGCGGCGGAGGGGGAGAGGTCGTCGCCCGGGACCTGGCTCGCGTCTTCCGCTGCGGCTGCACCCAGGGTCCGTGGTGTCCCGGTGCCGGAGTGAAGGACATCTGGGAAGATCGCGTCCTGGATGCACCGGGCCTGTGCAGAGAAACACACGGAGTAGAGGTGGTGGGAGAGTTAGCAGCGTGCTGTATACTTACCTCGGACTTTTGAGCGTCAGCCTGGGATGTTTCCAGCGCGGCTCTCCGCGCTCTCAGCTGGGTCTGCTTTGCCACCAGGTCCCGGATCTGCTTCTCCACGGCCTCCAGCTCGACCTGCACCGAATGCAGCTCGAACGTGTCCTCACCTGCACTCAAAGGTAGACACACATCCGCCATTAAAGCAAGTAACAGTGAGTAAAACAATGGTAATGTGTGTGAATAGAGTATTAGTGTAAGCGAGATTAGCGGCTGTCTATTGCTGATGATCGCATTATTTTTCATATGCATCTGTTTACATAAGAGACCGCTCGTTTCTCCATCCTGTTCATGTGTGTTTTTGCTTGGGAGGTTTTGTACTCGTTCAGAAGTTGCGTAATAGTGCCCCCGAGTGTATAACAGTGGAAACACGGAAAGCCGTAAAAACTCGTCTTTGGCGGGAAGCGTTTTTTTGTAAAAGACGAGATAACTCGTCAATGCCGGCAGGGAAAGAGTTAACACTCTACCAAAAGTTCAGAAATGGGAAGGAAAAAATACTCTTTAAGCAAAATTCAGTTGAGTTCAGTCCAACAATTCATTTAAAACGGCCACTTTAAGAAAAATAATGGAGGGAGAATAGTTTTTTTTTTGTTGCTTTTTTGCTTTTCTCTCTTTTTTTATTTTGCTTTTCCTTCTCTCTCTTTCTCTCTCTCTCTCTTCCCCCCACTCTACTCACTATTTATTTGTCCAAAAGCTTACTTCCGTTGACGTAGAAACCAACAATCCGGGTCATGGCACCAAAGATGTAACCCTCTTCATCGGTGTGCTCCCCCAAATGTCTCTGCATTGTGTTGAAGTGAGGGGTGAATGAGGAGGACACCAAGAACGGGGTTGAGTCAAGAAGAGCAGATTTCTTTTATTAGGCTCCATTTCCAACTCTCACAAGAGAAACAGCACTTTTCACAAGGAAATAGAAACTGTGGATAAACAACAGCTCCACCCATGTAAAGAAGGGCTCACACCCCACTCCCCACACTTACAACATACAGCTCCCCCCTAAGGCAGGGAGAACCCATTACATCTTCCTTATATATATATATATATATATATATATATATATATATATATATTATGTTAACTGTAATTCGTTACAGTTAAGTTAAAAAACAAAGTAATGAGATTACAGTCTGTGCATCTCTCAACAGTGCTCGGCAGCAGCGTCTCTGCTAATAGCGAAACTCTATGTTCAGATACTTGAAGAACAGCGCCGTTATTACCCCTCTTGTGAGAAATCCCACGTATCTTTTTAAGTTGCTAAACTATTTTACTGATAAAATCGTCAGAACAGCGC